GTTCAACAGTGCCAGTAGGAAGGTCGGCCATTGAAGAAGTATGAGGCTTCTTTCTGGACACAAGTTTTTGTAGCACTTCAGAGGCTCCTTGCTGCTCTTCAGCGGAAAATGCAAAGGAACAGAGTTTGAGTCATGGCTGATCCAAAGGGTGTTTGCACATTCAACAATCTGATGATGACAGTTACCGTTATCAGCTCGAATGGAGGAGCGTGCGAGACCAGAGCGATCACTGACAGCTACCGGAAAAAATGTGCCAATTTCGCTGAAAAGGTCGGCATTCGGCGTTGCCACCGGATCAGCTCCAAAAAATTCAGACCCCTGGAATTTGAACAGCTTGTTGTTGGTTTAGGACGAAACATTAAAGCTACTACTCGCTCAAGTTCACCTCTGGAAGTAGTTGTCGTAATTCCCGCTCAGCATCTATGTCACTACCGACACCTAACGTCACTACAACATGGGGATAACTATCCTGAAAACTACGAATGATCAAAACGACAGTGTTGCTGTTCAGAATAAAACATACATGGCTAAGGATACTGTGTTTAACTTCGTCTGTATTTCGGATAGAAACGAGCTTGATGTTGCGAAGCTTGCTAGAAATCGTGCAGAAAGCGGTAATTTTTTCGAATTGAAACCACATCTAGAAAGTTGACAGATCAGTGATAGACTTTCTTCCAGATAATGAAATACGAATACCTTCAGAGGCTCATGTTTTACCAAATCCAGCTGAGTTGTCATGCATGATCGCCATTTAGCAAACGCCTCGGTCATCCTACTGAAAGCCTTCTCGTGATCCTCCGTTGAGATCAGTAACATCTCGGAATACAAGAATACTCCCATGACCACGAGCAGAATGATTGACATGTAACTTTGAAGGAATTGCATCTGAACCCGTCAGTTTTTCGCACTGAAACCGTATTCAAGACATGTGGAACAACAGTTAGAAATTGATAACAGCAAATCACAGGGAGAAAGGTAAATTGGGGGTAACCCTGTCTTCCCATCTATCTTTATCCCTGTGAACAGTCTGTGGTGCCCTGTCTTGTCTCGTCTCTCTCTCCCTCGTCTTGTCGCTTCTTCTCCGTATTTGCAAATTGTTGTTTTACGAACTAAATGGCCTCAGTCGACAACTTTATGAACATTTTCAAGTGGTGATTAGCAGAGGGATCCCCTTTGACTCATTTGACTTTTTCGCTCAATGTCATATACGACTGTAGTTGCCGCTCATGTCACGTGGGCTGAAACAGGAGCCTCGAAGGAGGGAAAGCTCGTGCTGCGCTCTCAACAATGGGTGAGCACGAACGGCATTCTCAACAGATCGTATCGCCAGGTCCACAGCGGCAAGGGATTCTCCCGCCCCTTAGCACTTCTAGTGGATCCAAGATTGTTACTGAATGATGGCACGTCGAGTTGCAATGCATCCCAAAACCCGACACAGGGAACCTCCCGACAAAGAAACGGGGTTTCACCAGCTACGGAATCTTATTCACGGAGGCGAACGACGAAATTTCAGAAGCACTTTTGCGGATAAAGACAGATCGCTGTTACTCTATAATTCCTTCTCACTAACTTAGAAACTTGACAAAAGTGAGTGAAAAAGATGAGTATGAGTTATCGAAAATTCAAAACATTGGAACGATGAATGTTCAGAATTCGAATGGACTTACCTCGCACGGTGGCGAGTCCGATGCAGTGTGTTCTTGACAAATTTGTAATAGAATAGGAGCGCTAAGTTAAAATAACCCGGTGATACCAATACGATATCTTGTAACGCTTGCTGATAGTTACACCGTACTACAGCAAACTGACATAAAAAGTTATGTTATCTGGAACTTTGATGGAGAAATCTGAGGAATAAACCGTTGGTGTCATTCGGGTCTCAAATCCACTACAAGTGATCCGATCTGAGACATTGAAAGTGCGAGAAGATTAGCACCCATTGGGATGGTTGAAAAGTTCAATCGTGATGTCTCGCTTGAGATAAGAGCAGAACACTGGTTTTTATTTTCCTCAAAAAAACGGTGTTAGATTGGCTTGTAAATTCAGGGATATTATTCAAAATTTCATCTTTGAACCACCTATTCTACTTCCATTCAGTTTTCAATCACTGTTTTACACTCTCAGTATGCGAGAGATGGAGACTTCACGGGGGCGTACATCATTTGAACATGCTACCGGAGGGATTCTGCAGTTCCAGAATAATTGCAACCATGACTTTGTGTAGTACAAGAAAGGATCACACTTCTATCAGACGGAGATGGAATGGAACTATCCTACGAACAATTTGCGAGACGCGATGTTTAAGTGCGCAACCATGCTCACTCCATCGCTGGGATGTGCAGCGTACCCTCCACATGACATACTGCCAGCGTCCAAGCATTCGGTAGATTCCTTCCCTGTAAAAGCCTAGCAGCTTGCTGTCAACGAAGGTCCATTCCGAGGCCAACTTATGAAATGCTGTGTCTAGATGATTATCCGAAAAGGTGCTTGTCGGACGTCTTCCAGCAGAGACTGTCCAGCTACGTCTGGATCAACTTCACCATATCTGAGTCATGCGAGGAGAACACTTCCCTCCACATACCTCTCAGCTCAGCTGCAACTCGGCATAGATCGCTAAGCATCTCAGCATTGATAGCAGAATGGCGACAGCTCTCACAGAAACACTCCCTTCACACTTCACCAACAACTCAACACGATCTTTTCGGACTTCTATTGGGGCCTTGGAATTGCTTTCGTTTCCGGCTTGAATCGCTGTGGCACATTCGAGGTGATGACGTAAAAGAATCACGTCTCAGCTCTTATTACCGTGCAATCCAAATCAGATACAGAACCAGGACAGAATGGAAAGAGAGTAAAGAGTTTCAGATGTGGAATAGTAAAGTGAGGGATCAGAGGGTTCAGTAGATGTTGAACAGATCGGGACAGCAGTGGCAAAATATGAATTGCACAAGTTGACTGGGGCGTGCATTACACACCTTCATGAGCTGCATTATGAAGTTCTACTACCCTGAAGAAAAACTACGCCGGCCGCACCTTGTCAGCCCCAATCAGTTGCTACCACATTATGTCCCATCACTGATGTTCCCGTCAATACCACAATATCACCTGCTGGAACCAACTTTCGACTGTTGCTTGAACACGCGCCATGAGTCAGGTGACAATCGTGTTGCTCCAGTCAGGTGCTAACATTTTCTGGTGCCCACCCTAACGTTCACATCACATTTCCTTTTTTACCTGCTGGAAGCAACTCTCTACGGCTACTGGAACGGACACTATGAATTTGGTGACCAGCCTCTTCTATCTCCCTTTTAAGACCCCACTCAGCTATTATCATTCCCTGTCATCTACCGATGATGTTCCCGGTAGAGCCTTTATATTACTCTTAGAACCAATCTTCAATTGCTGCAGGGAGGGGCGCCATGAAATCAGTGGCACACATACCTAGCGGATTCTACAGGGGCGGGGGCAAGATAGGACACTTTTCTTCCTCGACTTTCAAGAACAAGTCACACTTTATCAAATTTTGACTGGACATTTCCACCATCATATTCAACAACACATTGTACACTATCACAAAACTCCGCCACAGCCTTCTGACGAACGCCATCGAGAGATTCTGCCACGCGACCGTGATTCGGTGCCTGAGTTCAGCGAGATCGTTGATTTCTCCGCCACTGTAGACCACCCTGTTGAGCTCTTCCCGGACCCGGCAGTAGAGGAGGTCTATACAGGTGACACACCACAGGTGTCATTCTGCCACATTAATTCCAAGTAGTGCGTCGAGTTTTTCAACTTCCGTTCGAATTTTCCATCCGTATCTTGTGCACCAATATTCCTGTAGCAGCTAAAAATTTCCAAGACGCCTGCAGGCGACGAAAATGAGGCAAGATACTCTCCTCGTGAGTCTGTCGATGTAATCGGCAGCGTCACTTTTTAATCCGAGCTCATCGAAATAAGTATCGTATTCTTCATTGCATGTAATCCATTTTTTTGTTCGCTCCCGGCTCCGCTCTCTGTATCGTCCTAGCTCTATATTGCGCGCCGCATGGCTGTGCGGATATCCTGGACCGTAGTGACGATTTTCTCTTATGCTGCCGCTTCGATGCTCGAGGTCTCTCATATCAGTGCCCGGTCTCCAGTGTAGCTGTCCATGCGTATTTTCATACAAGTAAGTGAGCAGCTGTTAGGCAGTGGACATGGAATGTCCATATGACCTTCTTCGTGTTCGGGCTTGCATTGAGATGTCTATATTTTGTGTACATCATAAGGCGATGGGCGAGAGTCTGCTCCTACGCTTATCAAGGAACACCTTGGGTTATTTTCCGCATACTCGTAAACACGTCTTCTGGGCCGCACAAACTTTTACTGGTATGTTGATCGGTCAGAGCGTCGTTTTTTGTTGCGCCCCCCACTTGTGATAAATAGAGATGATCCATCACATTATGTAGCTCTTTAGTCGTGTCGACTGAATGTCAACTAATTGTTTGTGAGAGCTCAACTGTTCAAAGATTCCTTACTATTACTCTTTATGTGCTCGGAACCCTCTCGTGCAGTTGAAGGACTGGTGATTATTATAATTGCTTTATTGATCTCTGAAGAAGGCGGGTGATAGAGATTGACAGGAATCTTGTCCTTTTTTGCCAGGGACCCATTTCCATCTAGGTGCAGCCGACACCTTTACAACATGTCCTTCCATTGACCATGGCGTTAGAAGAATTGGGCAACGTAGTATTGGCCCTTTGCGAATAAGCATAAGACGCGGGCACGATAGTTTGGTCCCTTGCAGAAAGCAAAAGAGGAGAGCTGTGTTCCAAAGTGGCACGCCTTTCAGGGTTCTTAGTTGGACCCCGGCCACGCGGTCTGAGTTGCTCTCAGAAAGAAGTTGTTTATATGTTCATCGTGAGACTGATGGTTTTAAAGTGGCGATGGAAGCTGATGTAGTAGAACGCGTCTAAGAAAGAGTTGTTCATGGAAAAGTCAATGTTGAACATCTGAAATGAGTTAGTTAATCAGATTATTGGAAGCCTCTCACTGAATTTGAATTGAGGTTACCGACAGCGAAAGTAAGGTTGGTTACGTAGCAAAGTAGAATTTGGCCTGTTATGATGCGTTAAATTACTCAAACATTTGTCCCTTTCGTCAAAACCTCTTTGCTTTGGAAGAATCTGACTAATATTTTGTGAAAGAACAGAATCAGAGTACCTTCACGAAGTCTACCCGACTTCTTCCTTAATCATGGTGGCACAGCTACTCTCCTGGCCTGGGCTTCTGAGCTTCTTTCAGTCTTTGGGAGCGAGCTTCTAGATATCGCATGCAAATCATGGTTCTTGCTTTTGAGTCTGGTATGTTACAGGAAGCTCGGAGATGTTTTCATTCAGACTACTGCGGTACAATTCTTCACGGAACACTCTCGGCAGTTTTTTGGATGCCGACTTACACTCTTTGCAATGAGTATGGTTTCTGAAACAATATGGGCATAAATTTTTTCCTCTGACGATCTACCATCTGTCTTCTACATCCGTCATTACTGGGCATGAATTTGAATAACGGATTCAACAGACAAGGAAGAATTGCCTTGTGAACCGCAGAACATACATAAAATCCAAGGGAAAGTACTTCTCTGAGAGAAGTTTTCATGCATTATTAAATTTCCTCCAGTTCTTGTTGTTCGCAATGTCGGATTGTCTCCGTCCTTTGATCTTTATTTTCTTCCACTGACGTTCCCTTCAGGAGTAATAGAAGCTGTTGCATCCAGATTATCTGACTGAACCTCAATTCTACATTGAACTTCCTGATCATCCTCCATAGGACGTTTT